AATTCCACAACCATAGTGGGGATGGTTATCTGATAATCTAATGGTGAGCGAGTTGATTTTGAAAAATGAGGAAATGAGGAAAAATGAGGAAAAATGAGGCCAAATCCAGAGTATATGGGAATTCTACAGGACTTAAAGGGAAAAAAACTTCACATAGAAAAAGAAAGGTTCCTCAGATGTATGACTTCCAGAAATTCCCTTGTCTGAAGCTAACCACTTATGTTCAAAGGCACTGTGCAGTTGATAACATCTTACTGGTAATATCTGAATGAGCATGCAACATCATTTACAGTCAATACAATACTGTATTTATACTGGTATTGTGTTGGTTATTTTATCAACTATCTCTTTAAATTTTGGAGTGATGTCTCTCCTAGAAGATTATAAATATGTTCATGAAAATGTGCATGTCTTAGCTATCTAGTCTAGATTTCTCAGACAAACTCAGAGGAGATTCAAACTGAGAAGCTACCAAGTCTGGCTTCTCAGAAGTTTAAAGTTCTTTTTGGATATAAACTCCCCAAACCCCTTCTTCTCAGGCCTCTTCTAGCCCCTGGATTAAATAATGTATATTTTTCTGATCCCAAAGGTCCTTCTGTGAAATATCCCTCTGTTGTCCTGGTAGTTATCTCTGAATGTCTGTGTAGTTTCTACTTCTTACCATGGCCTGGAGCTCTGTGTTCTTCACTATTTAAATAATGCTCACTAGTTGGTAGGGCCAACTATGTGCTAATCACTATGCTAGCTGGCTACAGAGAAACAATAAATCATATTCCATGCTCACAAAGAGCTCAAAACCTAGTGAAGGTTATTCTAAAAGCAGATAATCACATAAAAAAAATCACAAGCAAAGAAATATATGCATGGAATATTAGGAGAATCCCAAGATAGGGCACCTAATGCAGCTTAGGGAAAAGAAACTAGAAAGAGGATATTCAGTAGGAATGAACTAATTGTAAACTAATGTGTAACAATTGGTGAGCCAAGAAAAAGAGGGCTTGCCAGGAAAGCTGCACAGCATTTACAAAAGCATGGAGGTATACAGCCACACGGTATGAGCAAGCAGTGCAGCGAGACTGGGTGGTAAATTGTAAAGGGAATATGTGGAAGGAACAGGTGGGGATCACATCACATGGGGCAAAGGGAGCTCCATATGCTATGCCCCAAAACGTGGTTAATTAGCCTTTGACAAAAGGAACTGCTGAAGAGTCTTAGGTAAGGAAAAACTTTCTTAACTCACTATAGCAGTTATGCAGAATATAGATTTGAAGAGGATATGGTATAAATCCATGGAGAACATGATAAGAGCCAAGAGGAGAGAGCACCAATAGTAAGGAGGGAAAGATGAACATTGCAAAAATAACACTGAGGTAAAATCTGTAGGACCTGTGAATATTCAATAACACAGGCACAGCCTTTTCTACTAGGACTTGGAGTTCTCGTGTGCTAGATTTCTAACTAAGGATAGAATAGAACAGTGCTTAAGAGCACTGGATTTAAGACTAGGCTGTTCAAATCCCAGATTCACTAACTTTTAGATGTATAAACTTTGGGCAAATTATTTAACTTCTTTGGGTCTCAGTTCCCCAGTTATAAAAATATCAATAATAAGAACTGCCTGAGGGTATGATAATTCAAATATGCATCATGAGTAAAAGACCTAACAGAGCATCTGGCCTAGAGTAAGCACCCAATATTGGTAACTGTTTAATTTTAATCATTATTAATCATAGGCTTTGGAAAATACATGAGCATGTGGCTGTTTTGACACCTTTCTATGAAATTTGAGAAATCTAATCAGCATTCTTGTCCAGATGGAAAGTCACTGTCCCTCTCTGCATGGAGGTAGGCTAACATGCATAAATATCAAACAAATGCTAGTAATTAGATATGATCAGTTTGAAAGATATTTATGTATACACTGTTCCAGACAGAATTTAAAGTGATTTACAAAGGTACATGAAACATAACAAAATAGTATAAGTTTAAAATAGGCTCAAAAAGAAGAAAATCAGGAATTGGGACAAAGTGAATGAATCAGAATCAAGGCTCCAATATGAAAAAGTTAATGGGGCCTCTCAATGATCACCTGGGTCTAGACCACACAGACCCAACTGCATTAGTGTTTACTAGAGGTTTTATATATATATATATGGATTTTCAAAGTAGGGTTACAATGGCCAGCTGCAGAGTCAGATATGGACGAATATAAAAGAGCAGTCGGCATGCTAGAGATCCAAAGGATCCAGTCAAAACTTGAAGGCCTAGAGCTCAATGCAGAGTCCTGTGCCAGTCTGTATCAGGAAGCTAGAGGGTCTTCACTGCAAGGCTGAAGAATCTGTGCTGGAAGCCTGGAGATGGACGTCCAAAGATGTTCATGAAGATATGAGCTCCTCTGAAGAAGTGAGACTTCCTTCTTTCCTTTTTATTCCATCCAAGGTACAACCCTATTGGTTGGTGCCAACCATACCCAGGGTGGATCTTCCCTCTTCATTAAGTCTCTCATCCAGACACATCCAGAACTATGCTAAATCAACCACCTGGGCTTTTCTTATTCAAGTTGACACCACAGTTAACTGTCACACTATCTATGGAACAATTCATGTCTCACACAACCCAGGGCTTGCCCTTCACTGTTCTGTTGTCAAGAGATTTGGGGTAGCAAAGTTATATTTTAATATGTTGATGATAGGCCATAATTTGTATGTCTCACTGCCAGGCGGATCTGAAACACCAGTGGTACATGCCTGACTATCCCATCAGGCAACATGGGACAGTCCCATGGGGTGGTACAAGCCACCCAATGGGACAGTCGTGCATGTACCACTGGTAGTTTAAGCTGGCAGGAATATGTTAATTTCCCCTAACAATGAGAAATTTACAATCATCTCTCAATTTTGCAAGATTTGATTTATGTTTTGGACTAAAGGTTTGGCTCCCAACAATCCTTTTCAAAACAAGTTCTATAACAGTGGGATTTGTAGCTGGGTGGAGTGGTGCATGCCTGTATTCTCAGCATTCTGAGAGGCTGAGACAGGAGGATGCAAATTCAAGCCCACCCTGGACAATTTAGCAACTTAGCAAGACTCTGTCTCATAATTTAAAAAGAAATTTTTTAAAGCACTGAGGATGTAGTTCAGTACAAAAGGCCTAGGTTCAATTCCCAGCATCGCAAAAAGTGAAGTTTGCATGTACGAAGGCATTTTTCAGTTTTAGCTCCTTTAAAATATGTACCAACTGATGAAAATGATGATGATGATGATGACGATGACGGCAACAACAGCAACAATAGTGATGATAGTAGCTAACACTTCTATAATGCTTACTTTGTGCCAGGCATTTTTCTATGCACTTTACATACATTAAGTTAGTCTGGACAATCACACTATGGGGCAGATACTATATTATTATGTCCACTTTATAAGGGAGGGAAAGGAGGCATAGATTGAGCAAATAATTTGCCCAAGGTTACACATACTATAAGTACAGTTTAATTTTAGGACTCAGTCAGTTTGGCTGCAAAATCTAAGATCTTACCCACTGCACAATATAATGCAGTGTCTTCATAGTCTGGCATTATTGTTCTGTGTGATAAATTTGGAAAAATTAACATTTCATGCTTGAGAACTTGAGGTGAATTTTTAGTAAATTTCTCAGCTACTATACTAGTGGATCAAGGTTTAAGAATCCCTCAATCTGGCTTACTTCTCAGACTGGTCACCTCTCAACTACATACTGAAAAGAACTCATTCTTCTCACCCAGGACATCCCTTCTAAAGAACGACAAGAGCATAATGGTGAGCAGGTCAAAAGTAACTAAAATACAATATCTTGTTAGCTCTTAGAACCATATGTGGAAAACATTTTCTCCACATAGAGTATGCATGTTTTACCTTTCAGTACCATCAAATTTTGTTCATAAGTGGTTTAAAAGAAATTCCCACTTCAAATACCATATATAGTGGACCCTTGACTTACAAACTCCATTGGCTCCTGAAGGCTGGTTGTAAATCAAGTTAGTTTTAAGTCAATACAGGTGAGATCTGGTATTTACCTGGGTACATGCTATAGATAACATGAGGCAGATAAATCTTCCATTAACCTAACTAATCCAAGTTGGTCGTATGTCAGGCCGGTCATAACTTGAGGGTTCACTGTACTTTTCTAAAGTAAGTCCTAAAGGGAAGCTAGATGTCTTAATCTACATATTTCTCCCACAGAGTAGTTATTTTGGATATGTGGAAATGTCATTTACTCTCATAATTTTGCACTCTATTTTCCTACTCCTTAAACAACTCCATTCATCTTAAACCTACCATCTATCCTAGAAGGTAGATCTCCATAAGTGTGGTCTACAGAAGTATACAAATCTTAAAAAATGAGACCATGAGTTCAAAAATCCCACCTAGCAACATGGGAAACACATAGGAAGATAAACCTCATGTAACTTTGTAGTTTACAAAACCTACACTGGAAGGTTCCTCTCACATGAGCCAGGCAGACTTCACAAAAGCCCCCATAAGATTCATAGCTAAAAAATGGCCAGCTTACCTATTTCTCTGCCAAAGTCCCTTTCCTTTGGAGACTAAAAATTTTAAAAGGTTTAAAAAACTTCAACTAGAGAAAATGAAAAATGGAAACAAAGTCTTTGTAAATAGAGAAGGGTGGAGTGGTTGAAAGGGAGGGCAGGGGAATGGGGAAAAAATAAGAACCAAGAGAGATTATGTAAGGTACAAATCTCCAATGATGAATGTCAGTATATTGTATACCTAAAATGTACCAATAAAATGAATTTTTAAAAAATATTCAACTGAAAAAATAGAGGTGTAGCTCAATGGTGGAGCCCTTGCCTATCGTGTACAAGGAAGGCCCTGTGTTCAATCTCTAGCTCTGAAAAAAAAGGAACACTGTAAAATCCAGGTCATTTATATGCATAAAACATTTTTAAAGAGCCAACACATTGTTATTTTTCAATAAACTTCGTCAGCATATTATCTTACCTTAGCCAACAAGCTTTGATAAAGCAGCATGTCTGCGGTGAAGATGCACTCTTCTCCTGCAGGAGTTACAGATGGCAGGGATTTTTAAAATGAACTCTAGCTGGTATCTAATTGTTTCTTGCAGGCCATGTTAACTAAAAATCACCCACGCAGTACCCTTAAATGAGAAATCATGATGGCTCGTGACTAATCCAGCCCATGTTAACACATAACTGTGATTTCATGCATTTGGTTTCTTTTTAATTTTAGGGATGCTGTGATTTAGCTGGCCACAGAAACCTTAAACACAATAGAATAACTTGTAGTTGAACTTAAATTGAGCTATATACATAGCTCAAAAAGTTTTTAAAATTTTATTACCACATGTTTGTAGTACACAATGTATGAAGTGTTAAGGCCTATAAGCCATTAAATAAATACTAATTTCTTACAAGTAAAATATTAATAAATATATATCTGAGCATATGTACACAAAGTTAAGTATAAATTAGAGAATAACATAAAATAAGTGCAAGCTCTCTTTCCATCCTGAACTCTTTAACAATAATTACTTCAGAAATTGCATCAAATTTGTAGTGCAACATGAGTACATGCATTATCAGCATCTGGTCTACAGCTAGAAGCAATGTCCTAATATTTAGAAAATAAAGTATAAAAATTAAAACTAAAGGGCCAGGGATTTAGCTCAGTGGTTCCACCACCTGCCTCGCAAGCGCAGGGACCCGAGTTCGATCCCCAGTACCCAAAAAAAAATTAAAACTAAAATGCTCAAGTTATATTTGTACATTTTTATCTTCAATAATAATACAGTACATAAAAGTACCTTAAAAGTTCTAAGGAGGAAGAGCTGAACTCCCATAATTCAGTAAGTAGAACTTAAGTAAAGCTCTCAAAATGTCTATAAACACTTTCCTAGTCCTGTATATGTAAATATTTGATCTTGGTATTATTATTAGTTCACGTGTACCCACAGGAATTGGCATATCAACAAGGATTCTCTTTTATTTTATAAAAAGGAATGAATGTGTCAAATAAAGTTTTTAGAAATCTTCCCCACTAGATTGTTAGTTGTATGAGAGAAGGGAATTTGGGGCTTTCTTTTTTTGGGGGGGGGGCTCTCTTTATCTCTATACCTTTAGTGCCCAGAATATTTCCTGGCCCGTAATGTACACAACAAATATTTGTTGAGTGAATGAGCTGGCATCAAGAATACTGTACATCATTCAGCCACATCTAACATCTTATCATTCAGGACTTCTTCACCTTTAATACCATTAATTCAATACTTGTCTAGGACTATATCCCCCTATCCTTCTAGCCTGTTTGCTTAATGACCTCTCCTACCTCTATACCTGTTCTTAGACCTCGGGGGTGGAGGCAGTCTTCCACAGACTGTTATACTTTTACTCTGCTATTTCTCAAGTGCATGGAGGGATGGATGGACGGATGGATGGATGATCCATCCGTCCATCCATCCATCTATCCATCCACTATAGGATCCTGGCATATTGCAGGCCTTCAGTAAATCAATCCATGCTTTCTGATATGCTGCTAGCAATGGTTTAAAGACACTGATACTATAGCTACTTTTGACGCCTGAATTGATAGATCCACCAAAAAAAGAGGCAATGGAGATGCCATGGGTATTTCCCATCTCTTAAAAACTACTCAAGATCAAGATAAGTTTACATAGCCATAGGTAAGAAAGTCACAGTGGGCCAATCATTTCAACTACTCTTTTGCCAGCGCCATCCAATCTCCTTCTTCTAATACTTCTGTCATAGCGACCTAGACAAATTTCTTGAATTAGATTGTCCACACTCTGTTTCTAAACTGGGGCTAACTGAGTGTTGCCAAAGATAATGCAAACAGCTTTCTGTAACTTGAGATAGAGACAAATTAAAGTTACCCAAGCCTCACTTTATTTTTCCAGTTTTACAGTGGTATAATTGACAAAAATTATATAAATTTATAGTGCACAACACAATATTTTGGTACACATACATGTAATATCGATGATGTGACCCTACAGGGTTCCTATTCCTCTCAAATGCCATTCTAGCCCTTTACCTCTCTCAAAATCTTGCCTCTCCACAGTTGCTTCCTTCACAGCTTCACCAGTCCCATACTCTTTACCTCTTGTCTTAATGGAAGAGCTACTTCCCTTTCTGTAAGGTCAGTCTTTTCTCCTTTCATGCTTCCCCTCCAGATTCCTTGGGGCCCTTACATCATCAATTTCCATGCCACCTACACATGAACAGGCTTGTCACTCTCCTCTATTTAAAGCAAAACAAAATTAAAAGAATTTTATCTCCTATATCCTACTGTCTCTTTCCTTTCACACCCAAGTTTCTTCAATTTGTGTACCATATTCCTTATCAGTGTTCACTCCACAGCCCATTATGATCTACCTTCTCACCTCCTGAACTGATTCATCATTTGACCATCATTGCCAAATCCAATGAACATGTTTTTAAGTGTCTTATAGTGTGTTTTATCTAATTACAAGTGGATTACACAATATGAACAAAGTTATAACATGACTGACCATAGATAAAAAGAAAAACTTGCACTATATAACAGGCAGTGGGTAAACAGCTCCAATAAATATAATTTTCTTACAAATAAACTAAATATATAACCCCAAAGAAAAATTTTCAAAGGATATGATGGAATAAGTCTCTGGAAAAGATGATCATCCTCACTACTAGTGATCAGAGAAATGCCAAGTCCCTCCTTAACTAGTTAGATATTATTTTTCACCTATAGATTGCAAAAATTATTATTGTCCCAAGCTAGGGGTGTAGCTCAGTGGTAGAGTGCTTGCATGGCATGTTTGAGGAGGTGTCACTTGCCTTGCCTGCTCAAATTTTTTAAGTATGTATCTTATATTTAGTCTCAATTGGCAAATGATAGTTCTTTGTGTTTATGGGGTAAAACGTGATGTTTTCATCTATGTATACATTGATAAAATATTCAGTCTAGCCAATTAACATATCCTTCACCTCACCAAATTATTTTTTGTGGTGAAAATATTAAAAACCTATTTTCCTAGCAATTTAAAAATATATATTATTAACTGTGGCCATCATGCAGTGCAATAGATCTCTAAAACTTATTTCTGCAGTTTAACTGAAACTCTGTATCATTTTCTCAGCATCTCCTTGGCCCATAAATTCTAATAGAAAGCTATCCCACAGATTAGATATAGACATATAGATATAGATATATAAATATGATTTCTTTTTTTTTTTTTTGGTACTGGGGATTGAACTCGGGTCCTTGCGCTTGCGCAGCAGGCAGCAAAACCACTGAGCTAAATCCTCGGCCCTATAGATATATAAATATGGATATAGATACAGAGGATGGTCATTGCAACCTTGTGGTGGCTTACACTAGATTAGAAGAGATAAAGGCATGTGGAAGAATATACAATATTGTTTGAAAATCAAGTTGGCAGGACTTTCTCATTAGTTGAATGGCAAGGGGCTAAGAAAAGAAAAAAATTAAGTGTGACCCTAAATTCTTCATTTATGCAACTGAATGAATAATGATGTCATTTTTCTAAGAAAGGGGATGCTGAAGATGTGAAGGCAATCAAGAGTCCTGTTTTGGCCTTGTTATGTTGAGGTATCTACTCGATACAAAAATACAGTTGTAAAATAGGACACTGAATATACAAGGCTGTAGGTTAGAAAAGACCTAGGTCAGAGACAAATCTGACACTGACAAGTAACCAGATATATGTTACTTCAAGCCATGGGGCAGGGTGAGAGCCTCTCTAGGAAGATTTTGGATGAAGAAAAATCAACAGACTGAGTTCTGGGACATTTCAATGTTCAATGTTTGGGAAGATAAATTTAGAAAATATTGAGAATTAGAAACAAGTCTCACAGAACCACACATTAAATTGTAAGAATCACATATTTACCACCTTTTCAGGGCTCAATGCCTTCCAACTCTGTCTTTAAATAAACTCTGCCATAAATAGGGATAAACTTGAGTCATTTGCAGGAAAATGGATGTACCTTGAGACTACACTGTTAAGTGAAGTAACTCAGACACAGAAGATTAAATATCACATGGTTTCTCATATATGAGAAACTCTATATATACGTAATATAAATATATATATATATATCATGAAATTAAAGATAATAGGAAAAAAGAGAGAAAAAAAGTATTGTAATCCAGTATGGACAATGTATCTAAAAGTGTCTACATGTGTCTTACTACAAGTGTCTTACATGCTTTATATGTTCTTTGTCCTATTAGTCTGGTTTTCAATCTGTATACATGATAACTGTATATAAGGTATCATAAATAAATAATTGTATTGTAATGTATCATAAATAAATAAATCTCATGCTGGTAAATAAAATGGGGGTGCAGGGGAGGAGGAAAAAATAATTGAAATGTGTTATGTACATGTGCCAATTCCCTACAGTGAATGTAATCATTATGTACTCCAAACATGTACTAATAAAAGTCAAAACTTTTTTTAATTAAGAAAATAAAACTAATCAAAGACTACACAACTAGCACTCAGCTATGGCTTTTCCATAAAGTTCATAATCCAGTAACTACTTCATATCTAAAAACCTAAGGGTGACTTGATGTCAAAAGCCTAATTTGTGGCATCTTATATTAATTTTGAGTTGCTCACTTCCCTGTTGCATGGCAACTTTCTCCAGCCTCTTACTGACTTTGACAAATGCCTAAAATGCTTCAGGAAATCTGATAATATACACCCCTCTTCCTGGTACAGCACCCTTCCTATCACCAAGAAGCGCAGCATTTTAATATTTCCACTTTTAAACTTTAGAAATTTCTATCCAAGATCTTTATACTAAAAAAAAAAAAGGAAGAGGAATCACTTCCAAGTAGATCAAAATTGTCATCAGGAATGCAATCTCAGAGCAAAACTCAGCAAAAGGAAAGCTGTGAGAGAATTAGGCCTGAGGCAACTTTGCACCTGTAGGGTGACAAACTGTGCATGCTTAGTTGAGGCCCAGGAGAGTCAAAAGAATGCCAATTCCTCAAATGGTAATGTCATTCATTAATTAAGTTAACAAATATCATTATATGCCTATAATGTGCCAGGTACTTTTCTGGTGCTGGGGTCTACCAGTAAATACAACAGACAGTAATTCATGTTCACATGAACTTTATGTTGTGGGGGGAGGGAAAATCATAAGCAAGAAAAATGTAACAAGGTAGGGAAGGAACATAAAAAATGTTGAGAGGAGTTGCAAATTTAAGGAGGGTGGACAGGGAGTGCTTCATTACAAAGGTAACATTTAAGTACAAACTCCTAACTGTGGGTTTTCAAGTGTCTCAGGATGGTGACTTCTGTACTTTAATCCTAATATCACTATACCCCAATCCCTTGAAAGCATGGTATTCCCAATTCCTAGCACAAATGTTTGTTAGTCTCTTATATTTAAGACAAAGGGAGCTCCAAAACCCAGACCTGCCCCTTATAGAGGTGATAACCTAGGTAGAAAAACAAGTGAAAGTTGTGTTAAGGGCTTTATTGAGTTGTAAAAAAGTGCTTGAAGACAGTATATCCATTTTTCCCTTCTATTCTCTTAAAGAGGGATTGAAGGGAGGGGAGGGGATTGAGGAAAAAAAGAAGAATCAAGATGTATTATGTACAGGTACAAATTCCCTATGATGAATGTGATCATTATGTATATCTAAAGTGTACCAATAAAATTAACAAAAAATAAAATAAAATAAAATGTTAAAAGACACAGTATAACTAGTAGTTCTGCTTAGAAACAGAAGTCTGTGTTCAGTAAGTTTTTCCCAAAGAAGTGACTTTAGAGCTAAATCCTGAACAATGAATAGGAATTAATCTTGGGGTAGGGAGTATTGGTGGCAATTTAGCTTTTCAGGAAAAAAAAAAAAAAAAAAGAAGAGTTTGAGCAAAGTCCCAAAGCTGGGATTGGGGAGGACATTTTCTTCTTGACTCTCCTGGCCTAAGGTACTCCATCCTTCTCATGATAAAACAAGCACACCATTACCTCAGGCTCTTGGGCCTGACTGTTGGGAAGTTCTTATCACCTGGCACACACTCATTTCTCCACTAACCAACAGGAGAGGAAGAAGTTGAGTCAGATGCACATCCCTAGAATCCAGGCACACAATCCTAAAATCCAGGTTTACCCTCTCCTACCTTAGGAACAATAACCACTGAGCTGAGAGACCAGGAGATTTGATTTCATCCACGTACACTCAAGGTGTGAGCTTATAGTAGCAATATAGTAAATGCCCCTAAATTGGAAATTAAGTAGGTTAGGCATCAATGCAATAAGTGGTCCAAAGTCTCCCAGTGCGTCTAAGATAGAATTAGTGACCAAGACTTATGCTTCAGCTTAGAAGGGAAGTTTTTAATCAATCCTCACCCATGAGCTATTAGTGTTTCTAATGTCCAAGACAGGAGAGGAACACAGCTCTGGCCCCTGGTTCCCATTTGAGTGTGATTTGGGGTAAGGCATTTAACTTCTCAGAGTCTTCCTTTAGTCATAACACTGCACCTAGCACATAGAGTTATCTTGAGGATTGTATGAGATAATTATATACAGAACTTATCACCATATGTGGCTTAATGGATTCCAACAATCATTATTAGTAGCAGCTTTTAAAAGGAAATGCTCATAGTATCAACCAGAATGCTACATACACTTTCAGAACAATCGCCCCAGAAAGCCTCCAAGCTCCATTCCACTGTTCTTAGTCTGAATCACCTGAAATAGTGTTACCAGAAATGTTCACCCCCTACCAAAAAGGAGCTTCATAAAGCCAAGTTGGCAGGCTTTTGCTACTAGGATTTCCAGCAAGTGTTTAAACACACACAGAAAACTTCATTAGAGCCACAACTCTGCATTAAACATTGCTTTCTCTACAGTGAAGTAAACTCTGTAGGTCATTAACCCCTTAATAGTCAGGGATTTATTATGAGAAGTGGGGGTGGGAAGCTGAAAGAGCAGAGAAAAAGCCAGTTAAAAACAGGAGGTCTGGGATGTACTGAAGACTGATTTCTGCCACAAATGTATAGGGTCTAGGGTCAACCCTGACAAAAGTGGTATTCTGGAATGTTACGTCCACTGGTCCTGAAGAAGCAGAGTATGGGAGAGAAAAACGGTTGCTTAATTAGAAACATTATTCTTTTAAGCCACCAGAATTCTAACCAAATGATTTCACCACCAGAAACCCCATCTCACCCAACGTTATTGACTGGGGGAATACCTTTTCTATCCCTTTACAAATAATCACAGGAGAAAAGCATTCCGTGCCACTTCTGCGGACCCTCCTCCAGCAGCAAATTCCCACAGCCCACTTGAAGGGAGGCAAGAAGTTTAGTACCAGAGCACACAGCTGGGTTTCCAGCCCTAAGCGTGAAGAGAAGCCCAAAGAGGCTGAACTCAGGGCCAACCAGTTTCCAATTCTGTGGCATATGGCCAGGAAAACGACGCCTTCATGGCTGGACACTGGGAGAAGTACTCACAAAAAGGTAACTGGACGTCTTTGAGGGTGTAGTTCGCTCTAGGAACTCGGCCCCACCCCTGGTCCCAGTGCCAGCTCTCAGAAGGGCCCCTAGTCAGTGGGAAAATCCAGAGCACTTGGCGCCAGGGATGACAGGCAGGAGGTAGCCCCCAAAAGGGACATGGTCTACGTTGGCTTGGGTGGGCGAAGGAACCGACCAGAAGAAGCCCAAAAGTGACAGAAAGGGACTGTCCCAAACAGACTGCAGTCAAAGCGTTGGGGGTGCGGTCCAGAGAAGCGGATAGGGCAGAGAGGACAGGTGGTCAGCTAGGGAAAAGGAAAAACACGAAAAGCGAAGAGTGGGTAAAGAAGTACGCGGATCCCAGAGGTAGTTGGTGGTAGGGGCGCTTCGGTAGCGAAAAGGGGCTGGGAGCTCAGAAAGAGTTGGGAACCGAGGGCCAGGAACGGCCACTGGCTAAAGACCTACCTGTGACCTGCAACAAGTTGCCTTAAGAGGACTAGATGTCCCAGGGCCGGATTCAAAGGAGGGTCTCCAGCTCTGGGAAGACAGCAACCCCGCTCCAACTGCTGGCCCTGCTCACCCTCCCGGGAGGCGGAAAAGCTGCAACTTTCCCTGGAACTAGGAGGAGCTTGTCTCTTAAAGGGACCGCACAGCCCTAAGGAGACTTCTGGGAGCCAAAGTTTTAAGGTACTAGAGGAATGTCCTCTGAGTTAGAAAAGGAGCTTGGAAACTGGGGATAGGGGTGTAAGACTAGATTCGCCCCCCTTTTAGTTGCATCTGTGGTCACTAGGAAAATCATCTACCTGTTCAGATGAGCCAAGAGTTGCCAATAAGAAAATGAGCGTTTAAACTATATAATTTGGGAAGACAAAACAAGAACCATTCTGACTCTTTGTCTTTCAGCTTTTTATGGCAAAGTGTGTCTAAAATAGAAACATTTTGAGGACCATAACGTATAATAGATAATGTGAAATAGGAAGAAAAGGTCCAAACGGAAAGGGGTAGTAGAGAGGAGGTGTGGGGGAAAGGAAAGAAGGGAAAGAAAAAAATAAGAAAAGAAGGAAAAAACGGAAACAAAGTTCTTGTAAATAGGGAGGGGTGGAGGGGTGTAAGGGAGGGCAGGGGAGTGGGAAAAAACAAGAACCAAGATATATCATGTACAGGTACAAAATCCCAATGATGAATGCAATCATAATGTATACCTAAAATGTACTAATAAACTTAATGAATAAAAAATAAATAAATAAAGTAAAATAGAAACATTTTGGACAAAGGACATAGATAAAATTTATACATTCACACTAAAGGACACAACTGGTTAAAATATTCAACTCATTACTAATCAAAGAAGAGCAAATTAGAACAATAATGGGATTCTTTGGCAAACAGTTTTGTGATGTTTTTTCTAATAACATGTAATGATGACAAAGTGAACACTAAACAAGGTCTCTCATAATTGCTGATAAGGGTGTATGTTGGTTAAAAGCACTTTTAGGAAGCATGTGAGCAATATATAGCTGACTTCAAAAGGTTTTTTATTTATCTAGTAATTACAGATCTCCCTCTTGCTCTTTCTCCCTCCTGCTTTGCATTAGCTATTAAATATACTCAAATCAAATCTCTGTCATCCGTCATCAGCAATTGAATATAATCAAGTCTCTACCATATTAAAAAAATACATCCTGCCTACACAGGAGTTCCCTCTCCAGCTCCTCTTTATGAACAAATTTGTTGAAAGTGTATTTTAGAGTTGTGTTTCCAACTTCCTTTCCCTTCTCATTCATGTCTCAGCTCTCAGCAATCTGGCTTTCTTTCTTGGTGAAACTGCTTAAGAAGATACAAAACTAATGAACTCCGTGGCAATAAATGTCTGCACAAATAAATAAATGGAGCATTGACAAGCTTTATGTTGCTTGAGCTCTCCTACATTTAATATTGTCAATTATTTCCTCCTCGAAATTCTTCCTAGGGCATTTATGACATCAAAATAGCTTTTCTTTTTTACTTATTATTTTAATTAGTACAAGTTTGCAGTACACAATGGTTACATACATTGTGGGGACTTGATAGGTATACATAAAACAACTTAATTCTTTTTACATCCACTTCCCCTGTCTTCCCTCCCACCTCCCTCTACCTCATGGTCACCTTCACATTTGACAAAGATCTATCTCCCTGTTTCCTATTATCTATCTTTTCTTTCGCTCTTTAAATTATTTATATTTTGTGTTTCTCATATAAGAGAAACCATGCAATATTTAAGATTGTGTCTGATTTATTTCACTTAAAATTATGGTTTCAAGGTGAATCTTTTTCTACAAGTAACTCAAATTTATCCTTTATAGCAAAGTAGTATGCCACTCTGTATAAAAGCCACATTATCTGTATCCATCTGTTGATGAATGTATAAGCTGCTTCTGAAATTTAGCTATTATGACTTCTGTTGCTATAAACATGGTTATGCATGTATCATTATACAATGATGTCTTTAACTATTCTGGAAGGATATCTAGAATAACTGGGAGAAACTGAATTTCCGGTTTTAATTTTTTTTGGTTTTTTGTACCAGGGATCGAACTCAGGACCTTGAGCTTGCGAGGCAGGCATGGTGCCACTGAGCTAAATCCCTGGCCCGGTTTTAATTTTTTGAGGAATCTCTATACTGATTTTCATAGTGGTTGTACTAGTTTACATTCTCACCAACAATACATAAGGGTTCCTTTTTACCCAGAGCCTCACCAACATTTCTTATCATGTGATTTCTTGATGACAACAATTCTTTCTAGAGTAAGATGGAATCTCGGTGTTGTTTAAATTTGCATTTCTCTAATGGCCAGAGATGTTGAAAATTTTTTCATGTATTTATTGTCCATTTGTGTTCTTTTGCTGAGAAGTGTCTATTCATTTCAGTTACCAATTTTTTGATGGGGTCTTTCATTTTGAGGGGCCTAATTTTTATGAGTTTTTTATACATTCTAGATATTTGTCCTCTGTCCAAGAAATAGCTGCCAAAATTGTTTTTTCATTCTATATTTTATATCTTCACTCTTTTGGTTGTTTCCTTTGCTACGCAGAAGCTTTATAATTTGATATGACCCCATTTGTTAATTTTGGTATTGTGCAATTGGGATTCTGTTCAGAAAGTCCTTGCCTATCACTGTGTCTTCAAGAGTTTGACGTATTCTATCTCTCAGCAGATTAAATGTTTCTGTTTTAACATTTAAATCTTTGATCCATTTTTATTTTAGTTTAGTGCATGGTGAGAGACATTGGTCTCTTACAGTAGATGCCAATGAAAAGCTAGCTGAGCTAAAAAAAAAAAATGATACAAACCACAAATGACCAGTGTAGCAAAGAATTACAGTTCATGCAGAGGTATCAAACAGAAACCTAGGAGATAAATTTTCTATTGAAATTATGGGCAAAAGAAATGACCAATGTGAGGACAGAGTGTCAGAGCTAGAAGACATAGTTGATTCAGGTGACCATATACTCAGGGATACCTTAAAAAGAATAAGAGAACATGGAAAATGGATCTAACAGCTGCTAGATGATGCAAAGAAGACTAATCTCAGATTAACTGAAATTACTTAAAAATCAGAAGACAGCATGAAGGCATAAAAAATAGCAGAAAACTTCCAAACACTCCAAAAGAATTTAACATACGGATAAGCAAGGGATACAGACCCCCACATACCCATGATCAGAAAAGAATTTCTCCATGACACATCAGAGTCAAACTCTCAGAAGTCCAACACAAGGACAGAATCTTAAAAGCTTTTATAGAAAAGCAACAAAACACTTATAAAAGTAAGCCTGTTAGAATTATAGTAAGTCCCTGACTTACAACATTCAAGTTTTGAACTTTCACAGATATGAAAGGATTTCACATTTGGTTTTGGGTTTTTTTTGTTGTTTTTTTGTTTTTTTTGGTACCGGAGATCAAACTCAGGTCCTTGTGCTTGTGCAGCACATTTGGTTTTTTTAATGCTTTACATTGTATATTTGTGTCAAAGGTGTGTAAGAGTCACTTTATCAGACTTATGAAAGAATCCAATTTACGAACACTCTCCCAGAATGGTCAGGGACTTACTGTACAGCAGACTTCTCTACACAAACCTTAAAAATCAGGAGAGCTTGGAGTGAAGTGTTTCAATCCCTAAAAGAAAACAACTTCTAATCCAGAATAGTATATCCTGCAAAACTACCTTTCAAAATCAATGAAGAAATAAAATCTTTCCATGACAAAGAAGACCTTAAGAAATCACCAGCACCAAACCAGTACTCTAAAAATGAAGCCAACAATGCTAAAATGAATAGCGGAATAAATACACCAGGTGGTGAGCAGTTAAGCAGGAGGGAAAAATCAGCAACTGGAAAATAATGCAATAACAGGAATAAATCAATACTTTCAAAAATAACTCTCAAAGTGAATAGTCCAACTCCCCAATCAAAAGACACAGATTGGCAAATTGGATCAAAGAATGGAACCCAAAGTTATGCTGTATACAGATCTCTGATTATACATATCTAGCCTGCCTCAGAATGAATGGAAAGCCAATCTGCAGTTTGCTTATATAGGAATGTCAGACTGACTGTACAGCCATACTTGAAAATGCTTCGGTGGTGGCAACTTTACTTGAATGAATTTTTCATCTTGATTGACTCACAGTGATGTATAGTTCATTTCTAAAACTAGTGGCTAACTTTGGTAGGAAATGTTTGCATTTGGACACTAAAATAATGAACTTCTGTGTGCATTTTTCTATGCTTTAATTTTTTAACAGTCTCATTTCACTTTCATGAGATGTTTGGTTTGTTTGTAAAATCTAAGGGTGGTTATAAATACTATAAAGTATTGTAATGTTATGAATGCAGGTTATTTGAAAGCTGTATATTATTTTATCATTCCTGATAACGCTATGTGAGTGTTTTAAATAAAATTTATATTTATTTAATGCATAAAACGTTATGCTGTATACAAGATATACATTCAGTTCAAAAGGAATTTATGGAAAACACTATTCCATGGAACAAGGGCCCCAAAACAAGCAGGAGTAGCTATTGTAACATCAGACAAAGAGGACTTCAAGCCAAAACTGACCAGAAGAAACGAAGAAGGTTACCAAATATTATTGAAGGGCACAGCTCAACAGGAAGAGATAACAATTTTAAATATATATGAACTGAACACTGGTGCACCCAAATTCATAAAACAACCATTACTTGACATAAAAAAATCAGGTAGACATCAACCCCATTATAATGGGGGACCTAAATATCCCACTGTGGTAGTTAATTTTGAGTCAGCTTGAGTAAGAAATGCCCAGCTATTTGAATTAGTGTATTTCTAGATGTGGCTGAAAGAATTTACTGAAGATAGAAGACCTGCCCTTGGTGTGAGTGGCACCAGCCAATAGGCTTATACCCTGAATGGAATAAAAAGGGAAATGAAGAAGGACTTCTCACTGCTGTTTCTTTGGAGGAGCTACAATCTTCACCTTTGCCTTGGATGTCTGTCTCCTAGCTTCCAGCATAGACTCTTCAGCCTTCTAGTGAAGACCTTTCAGCTTCCTGATATAGACTTGCACAGGA